TAACGAATTCCGAAACGTGTCACAGGCTCCGCGGTAGCGCGGTGATGGCTGCGGAGCCGCCCGGCTCCCACCTCCGCCGCCTCCTGCCGGCCGCTCGGCGCCGTCGGCGGGAATCCATTATATCGACAGCGTCCGTCTGTGTAATTCCTGCATCAGGATTTTGTGCCGCACTGTGTTTGAAAGGCTCTGCCGACCCCGAGTACCTCGTTAATTGTGCTTAAAAACCCAGATTAATTCAGAGGCGGAGTCGGCCGTGCTGGGAGGGGGCCCCCGTGGCCCAGCGGTCGATGGCTCCCGGTCTCCAGAGGTGGCAGCTCCATGGGGTGCCCGCTCCACACAGCCCGGCGCTCACGGGCCTCCTCGGGTCACGGAGACCCTCTGGATCCAAGAGGGGCCGGGCGCCTGGGCGAGGGGGGAGACGGAGCCAGCCGTCTGGGTGGGGGAAGGGACGAGCCGGCCCTGGCCCTGTGGATCGCAGCCTGGCTCCTTGGCAGCACGGTTGCTGTGGTCCCATGTCACAGGGGCGAAGGTCAGCGAGAGGGTGGGTCTGGAGGAGCTGGGACAGCCGGGCCTTGTCGCCTGCAGCGGCACCACCCCCTCCCCTCCAAAGGGCTGGCATGGCCCCCACCCCTCCCGCTCCCGGTTGCAGGGGGACAAACTGAGCCCGAGGGGCCAAGGGCTGCCCCGTGTCACTGTCAACCTGAAGCCAGGGCCCATCTTCACCATAAACCCCGCCTCTGCCGACCTGCAGATTCTGGGGTGTCCACCTGTAGTGGGGGCGGTCACCATGGAGGGGAAAGGCGTCCCCAGGGTGAGCGAGGACCCTGGGGTCTGGCGGAGCCAGGCCCAGGTCTTGGCTCTTCCCTGACTTGCCTCCTCCCAGACAAGTCCCTTCCCCCACCCCCGAGCCTGTGTCCCCTCTGGACAGCGGAGTCCAGTTGCAGGGTGGCCGGTGGGTGGCCATGCTCGCATGCTGCTCCGCACCACGAGGGGTCCATCCTGACAGCGCATTGGTTCCCTGGGGCAGGGTCAGGAATTATGGGGGGGCTTGGGGGTGCAGGGCGAGGTGGGGGCTGAAGTGGCCCAGGCCCCACTCCGGAACCTGCCACACGGACCACGGCCCCTGCCCTCTGTCCTTGCTGAGCTGGGCTCTGCAGCCATCCGTCCGCCCATCCCACGGAGGTGGAGTCAGCTGAGGCGGACGACAGGGTGCTCCTGGAGCACGCGCTCCGAGGCCCGGGGGCAGCCAGGGCTTCGTGGGGGAGAGAGCCCCCAGGAGGGGCCTGCGGGGTGATGGGGAGGAAGCTCGGCGGAGACTCATCAGCCAGGCTGCCTCCAGCCTGACCCCAGGGGCGGGGCGGTGGGAGCAGCACCCAGAGGTGGGCCCTTCTCAAAGCGTGCGACTCAGGGCTCTGAAGTGTGTTCGGCCGTGCAGCCTTCAGCATCCACTTCCTGTTCCCCTTAGACTCCCAGGTGCCCCCAACCCAGCTCCACTTAGTGGTCTGTAGATGTCTGTTCCCACGGGCATCCCGTCTATATGGAACCACGCCAGGGACATGTGACCTTTGGCCTCTGGCCTCAAAAAAAAACCCCCCCACACCGTGGCAGGTGTCAGTGTCCTTCCTCTCTGAGGCTGAGTGACAGCCCACCGTGTGGACGGACATGTTGGCCTGTCATTCATCAGCCAGTGGACATTCCGGTTGTTTCCGATTTGGGGACATTACTAACATGCCGCTGTGAACACCCGTGTATGGGTTTTTGTGCGGGCGTGTGGACCCAGCGGCATTGCTGGGTCACACGGTGGCTCTGTTTACCCGCTCGAGGGACCGCCAGACTCCACGGTGGCGGCGGCACCTTATCCCCCCACCGGCAACGCACGAGGGCTCCCGTGTGTCCGCAGCCGCGCCCACGGGCGTCGTTCCTCGTGGTCCTGTGAGCCGCCCTGGTGGACGCGAGGCAGCGTCTCACTGTGGCTTTGACTCGCATTTGCTAATCTGGGTGGGGGAAGGGACGAGCCGGCCATGGCCATGTGGCCTCTTTGCTGTGTGTGCCGGCCCTTCGTGCGTCTTCTTTGCAGAAACGTCTGTTTAGCTCCTTTGCTTATTGTAAACATCGGGTCGTTTGTCTTTTCATCATCTTTTCTAGGCACAAGTCCCTTACCAGATACACCCTGCAGAAATGTTCTTGCGTTCCGGAGGTTCATTTTACTTTTCCAGGGGTGTCCTTCGAAAGCCGAAAGTCTTAAATTTTGGTGATGTCCGTTTCATCTATTTTTCTTTTGTCGCTTGTGCTTCTGGTGTCACGGCTAAGAAGCCGCTGGCCAGCCCCGGTGTCCCCGCACCATTTGTCGAAAAGACTATTCTTTCCCCATTGGGCGGTCTTGGCTCTTTTGCCAGAAATCAAAGATTTCACTCGTATGTGCGTATAACACCGAAAGCGACGAACGAATGAGACAGACAGACAGACAACCTCGCAGACACAGGTGCCAGCGCAGTGGTTACGAGGGAGACGGGAGGGGGACCTAACACCCGGCGACGTGACGGTTACGGTGCGGTGGCGGTGACGTGACGGTGACGTGACGGTGACGTGACGGTGACGTGATGGTGATGGTGACGTGACGGTGACGGTGACGTGACGGTGACGGTGACGGTGACGTGGCGGTGACGTGACGGTGACGGTGACGTGACGGTGATGGTGACATGACGGTGACGGTGACATGACGGTGACGGTGACGGAAGGAGACCAGACCACGGGAGGCCGGCCTGCCCTGCAGCCATCCATGCCTTATGGAATTGCGATCGCAGCCTATCTAATTTTATTAACCGACGTCACCTCAATACCTTTAATGTTTAAAAACGTGCTTTACAGAAATCGGTGGACGGCAAGCAAGGGGTTTATTTCTGCACCCCCAGTTCTATCCCATCGGTCCCCGTCCGCCCCTGTGCCGTGCCACGGTGCCTTTGTAATAAACTTTAAAATCGAGACATGTGAGTTCTCCAACTTTGTTCTTTTTTAAGACTGTTTCGGCTATTTTGGGCCCCTTGTGTTTCCATGTGAGCTTTAAGATAACCATGTTAATTTCGGGGGGGAGGCAGCTAGGATTTTGCCGGCGTTTGCACGGAATCGGTAAACCGGGAGTGCCGACATCTGAAGAGTGTAGCTTCCCGCCCCGGAGCGGTGCGTGCCCTTCCGTTTTGCCCGAGCCCCCTTAAATCCTTACCTGCCCTCCGGCAGCATTCCAGGCTTCCGAGTCCCAGTTTCGTGCGTCTTTGGTGAAATATGTATATGACGCTCCCGAGCATTAAATTCTTTCTTTGCACACGTATTTAAACACCCCCTGGTGCTGGCTCCGGCAGGAGGCTGAAGCCTGCTCCGTGCCGTGGAGCAGGTGGGATTCGGCTAGGAGAGAATCAGTCCGCAGCTCACATCTTGCTGCGTAACCACTTGGCGGCTTCAGGGAAGGCCGTGACAGCGCCTGGCGGCTGGAGTCTCCCGTCCCTCAGCTCCAGGCGCTGGAGAAGCAGGAGGGGACAGATCACAGAGACCTCGGGACAGGCCTGGCCTCGGCTGTGCTGGGTCAGGACCTGCGGGAGGACTGAGGGCCCACCTCTGGCCAGGCCAGCCCTGAGCTGTGAGTGGCTTGACCCCAAGTCTCAGGGGTCTGGCACACAACACAAGAGCTACAGCTTCACACGTGCACAGCCCTTTACAGTCTGCGAAGCAGTGTCTGGAACAGGGGTAGGATCCACCGCGTGCCGAGCCAGGCGTGCAGTGGGCTGGGCCTGTCGCATGTCACCGCGGCAACTCCTCATTTACAGAGGAGCAGAGGGAGGCCCAGAGGCACCAGCCCTGCACCGCACATGGGGCTCCCAGACCAGGCTTCCCACAGCTCCCTTCAGAGACACGGGATCGGGAATCAGGCCCGCAGCCTGGAGGTCGTCCGGGACACTGGACGGCCCTCCCGCCAGCAGAGGAGCCCCCCACCCCGAGTCAAGGACGAAGACAGAGGAGCCACTGTGGCTCGTCCTCCGAACTCGCTGGACACTGCATCTGCTCAGCTCCGCACTGTCCCCCCACGGACAGCAGTGAGCTTGCTTCTGCATCCCGGAGAGGAAAAACCTCGGAGAGCTCCCAAAGGGATCCTGGGGGATCCGACAGCCCGCCCGCCCCGGCCACGGCTGCTGGGCCCGGACACCTCTGCCAGGAAGCCACCCCGCCCACCCCGCCCACCCAGAGTTATTTACTTCCCGTAATACCCTCCGAGAGGGCCTCGCCTGGCCTGGGAGCGGCTCTGGGGTCATCACAGATGTGCCTTATTAGCGGAGGGTCACCCGCCCGCCCGCCCCAGGTGCGTGCAGCGGCTCCAGCACCCCAGCTGCCACCCGCCTCCTCAGCTCCCCGCCTACCTGCCTCCGAGCAGCAGGCCCAGGTTTTCAAATGTAATCCAGATCAATCTATCGTATTTAATTCTATGAGCGATCGATTGTATCGAAGTATAATTCGTACATGAGGAACGCTCCCACTTTGAGCATGCGGTCCGATGCGTGTTGGCCACTGCACTCACCCGGACACGCTCCGGATGGACAACTCAGGATGGGGAGCACGGTGGCACGGGCCACACAGGGCCACCGAGCGCTTGAGACGTGGCTGACCCAAAACGAGGCGCGCCTGAGATCACGGAGGGGGGCAGGGTTCAAGGCTTCATCCTGACAAAGAAACAGAAGGCATCTCACTAATGGTCTCACAGCGGTCAGTGCTAAAGGTCGCGGGGGTGTCCGGGGAGGGGAGAGGGCGGTGAGCGCAGCCTTGCGGGTGTGTGACTTCCGGGCGGGGATCCCTGACCGCCCCTGCCGCCCTGTCCACAGGCGCCTCGCCAGCCCCAAGAGCCCTGCTCGGTGAAGACGAGGCTTAGAGACAACACACCGAGGAGGCTGGACCTTCCCCAGGTCCAGCACCCTTCCCCTGTCCCCTCCAATCGAACTAAATAAAACTAACTGGACGCGCTGCCGTGCGTGGGTAGCCAGGCTGTGCCGCTTCGCCTCCTGCCTGCGACTCCAGGGCACGTCGGCGGGAGCCCACGGGACTCCGCACAGCACCCCCGTGGTCTCCTTACCAGCCCTGTGTCCAGGCCCTGCAGCCATCAGGGGTCCCACTGTCCACACGGCCCACCCTCCCCAGGACCCCTCTCCTCCAGGCCCAGCCAGGCGGCCGTGTTTCCCGTCACTGTGTCCCCTCATCTCAAGGTCTTCCCTGCGGTCCTCAATTCCAGGTAGGATCATCCCAGCCTACAAGGGCCCAGAGAGGTGCGGACACTTTCCTGGGGCTGCTCAGCCCGTGAGGGAAGAGGACATGCTGGCCTCCTGGCTCCCAGCTGCCCTGTGGCGGCCTCGAACATGCCTGCTCAGGCCCGCCTGCCCCCCACCCCGCTCACCTGCTGGGCGCCTGCTGCCCCCCGCCCGCCCTGGCAGCGTCCCAC